GGCCGGCTCTGCCGTGCCCCTCACTCCTCCTTGCTGCGCCCTGCTACTGCCCCCCTTCAGACCCTACACCTGGACGTCTGGGGCCCTGCCCCCGTCCCCGGACCGCGTGGTGAGCGCTACTTCCGCGTGCTCGTCGACGACTACACGCGCTACACCACGGAGTTTCCCCTGGAGCGGAAGGCCGACGTGCCCGACGTTCTTCTCCCGTGGATTGTGGCTGCGCGTCTTCACCGCGGTCTCCCTGTGTTGTGTCTCCACTCTGAGCGTGGCGACGAGTTTGCCTCTGGTCGGCTTGGACAGTTCTGTCGTGCGGAGGGCATCACCCAGTCGTACACCTTGCCGGACTCGCCACAGCAGAATGGGGTTGCTAAGTGCCACATCGGCTTGGTCATGGAGGTTGCTCGTACCTCCATGATTCATGCCGATGCCCCCCATTTTCTGTGGCCGTTCGCTGTTCGCTACGCAGCTCACCAGCTTAACTTGTGGCCACGCTCCCAGCGGCCGCAGGTTTCGCCGACCCTCCTTTGCACCGGGTCCCCCGGTAACACGTCTGCGTTCCACGTCTGGGGCTGCCTTGCTCACGGTCGCGCCTCTGGCACGGACAAGCTCACTGCCCGCACTGTCCCCTCTGTCTTCCTCGGTTTCCCCCTGGACTCGTCTGACTGGCTTTTCTACCACCCGCCGTCTCACCGCTTCCTCCACTCTCGTGACGTCACCTTTGACGAGTCTGTCTCCTTTTACCGCCGCTTCCCTCACCGAGGTCTCCCGGTTGCCCCGCCCCTGTTCCTTGCCCCCTCTCCCCCGGTAGCCCCTCCTCCTCTCCCGCCTCGTCCTACCCCGTCTGGTGTCTCTCACGTCACTCCCCTCCCGTCGGTTGTCCCCGTTGAGGAGTCTGCTCACTCTGGTGATACCCCCTGCCTGTCCTTGTCGCGTCCCCCTCCCCCGGTATCTCCGCCCCCACTGTCGCAGTCGCCGATTCCGCCGCCGCCGCCGTCGCCGCCGCCGCCACTGGCGCCGCCGCGCTTGGCCTCTAGGGGTGCTGGCGTTGAGGAGGGTGTTCATCCTGCGGCCCCTGGGGGTGCCGCTGGTGTTGGAGGGGGTTCTCACTCTGGGGGTGTTGGTTCTGGGGGTGCTGCTGTTCAGTGTTCTGCCCGCGGTCGTCCTGCCGGTCCGAGGGTTCCGGCCCGGCAGTGGCAGCAGCCGCAGCAGCCATCGCCGCCGGTCTCCGCTCTCCGCCTGCTCGGCCTTCCCTCCCCTGACCGCTTGACGGTGTCTCCACCACCGCCTCCTGACTTTCCTGTTTACGGTCCTGTGTTCCCGCCGCTGGACTCGTCTCCCGTCCGTCCTCCTCCTCGTTCCCCTCCTATGTCCCCTCCGTTGTCTCCTGAAACTACACCTCCGTCCCACGTTTGGTCTCGCCGTCCCTTCCGTGCCCATCTCTCCTGTCCTGCGCTCCCACCCTATGTTGCTCCGTTCCCACACGTCTCGTCCTCCCCTCCTCCCGTCCCCTCCTCCCTCTTCGCTTGCTGTTGCACCTCCTCCGTTGTCTGACTACCTCCGCGCCACTCATCCCCTTGTTCCTCGGGTTCTTGCCTCTCTTGTTACTGACCCTTCTGTTCCTGTCTCACGCCTTGACGCGCTTGTCGCTGTTGTCGCTGACTTCGCCTCTACCCTGCCCTTCCTCCGTCCGTCGGGGGTGCTCCTGCCCTTGGCAGTGACTTTCTAGAGGACAGGCAGTACGAGCTTGCTTTCCTTTCCGAGGCCGCTCCCCATCTCTGCTCCATGCTGTTAGTCCCTGAGGGTGACCCAGACGCCTTCGACATCCTGACCCCTCGCACTTACGCTGAGGCCACCTCGGGACCTTGGGCCTCTCAATGGATAGCTGCCATGGAGCAGGAGATGGTATCTTGGAGGTCCATCGGCACTTACGTCGACGCAGTTCCCTCGCCTGGGGTGAACGTAGTTGATGGTCGGTGGCTCTTCAAGGTGATGCGCCCCCCTGGAGAGCCGCCTGTCTTCATGGCGCGCTACGTGGCCAGAGGCTTCAGTCAGCGTGAGGGGGTTGACTTCTTCTAGACCTTCGCCCCGACCCCGAAGATGACCACTCTTCGGGCGCTGGTACACGTAGCAGCACAACGCGACTACGAGCTTCACTCCCTCAACTTCTCTACTGCCTTTCTTTAGGGCAGCCTACACGAGCAGGTCTACCTGCGCCGACCGCAGGGCTTCACTGGTACCTTCCCCCTTGGGACCCAGTGGCTTCTCAGGCGCCCGGTCTACGGCCTGCGTCAGGCTCCCCGCATGTGGCACGACACGCTGCGGGCCACGTTAGTAGACCTGCAGGTCCTCTGCAGACCCCTCGCTGTTTGTGCGTTCAGGCTATAACCCGTTCTACATCCTTGTCTACGTAGACAACCTGGTCTTCGCTACTGCTGACAGGGATGCACTGGCCTCTGTGAAGGCCGAGCTGCTGAAGAGACACACCTGCACTGACCTTGGAGAGTTGCGTCGCTATCTTGGCCTGCAGATCTCTAGAGACAGTGCAGCACGCACCATCACTCTGACACAGTCACACTTGGTGCGTCAGGTCCTTCAGAGGTTCGGTCTTCAGTTCTCCTCCGCACAGCCCACACCTCTACATGTAGACCATGGGCTCTCCGCTCCCGTTCCTCAGGAGCCAGTAGAGCCTAGTGGCTCCTACGCAGAGCTGGTAGGTTGCCTTATGTACCTGATGACTTGCACTCGCCCAGATTTTGCATACCCTCTCAGCATCCTGGCTCGCTTTGTGGCTACAGGCAGACACCGACCTCAGGACTGGTCTGCCGCTAAGAGGGTTTTGCGTTATCTTGCAAGTACATCGGGCATGGGGTTAGTGCTAGGAGGACGCAGGCCAGTGGTCCTCACTGGGCACACAGACGCTTCTTGGGCAGACGACTCAGAGACTCTCAGGTCAATTCAGGGCTACTGTTTTAGTTTTGGTTCGGGTTCTATCTCTTGGAGATCCATTCGCTCGTCGTCTGTTGCTTAGTCCAGCTGTAAGGCTGAGATCTACGCCGGTGCCATGGCGGCACAGGAGCTCCGCTGGCTTACCTTCTTGCTCACAGACTTAGGTGAGCGGCCTAGCTCTGCCCCGGTCCTGTACGCTGACAACATGGCCATGATTTTCCTGTGTCAGGAGCCTCGGCTTGAGGGCAGAGCGAAGCATATCCAGCTGCGGTACTTCCTCCTGCGCGAGCTACAGCAGCGTCGCCAGGCCCGCGTAGTTCACTTGGCCTCCGGTGCCAACACTGCTGATATCTTTATTAAGGCGCTTGTGCCTAAAGATCATCAGCGGCACTGTGTCCAGCTTGGTCTTGTTCCTTTTACTTCTCACTTGTTAGGACCCTGATTGTGTACTCTCTACTATTTATATCTGTCTGACTGGCCTTGTGGCGTTACCTCCTGTGGCTGGACTAGTAGTGCCACCGTGGCTTGCTTTAGTTTTGTTTGTACTCTTGTTGACTGGTCTCCGGACCTCTGCCTCAGTGGTTGGACTAGTAGTGCCACCCTGAGCTGTGTGCTTCTTGCTTAGGGTTGGACTAGTAGCTCCACCCCTTATCTAGCCTAGGGGGTGTGTCAACTTATACATATGTTCTATGTAGAAGTTATAGGCTAGATTAGGTGTGTGCTTCTAGTGAGTACAACCCAACAGGGATATGTTCTAGGTTTCTCTTCCTAGTCTATCATTCTCGTTTTCTAACAGAAAATACCTGTTCGTCACTATCGCGCTATGCGCTTGGATGATAATGAAGAGGTGCAACTATTCGCGTGACTGAAACGACAGTCATATGACGAGCGCTATTTGCTGACGTCATCCTACAGACTTATCTTGTACAGTAAGATTCGACACTATCTATCGATAAACGACTTACATAAATGCTAAGTATGAAATATACCACAACAGGGCGGAGCTTGGAATCCCGAAAATCAGGGATTCAAGGATTTGTTAAGGATTCACATGGGCAGGCTCAAACAATCAGCTTTTCTAGAACAAATTAGAGGCCTTGCCTTGAATGCATAATGTTGGCCTAGGGTTGGTACAGGAACCTATTACTGATTTCTCAGGGTTCCACTATGACGGTCAAACTGAGATGACAGGGCAGAAACACCTATTTATTTGAAGATTTAGAATCTGGATCTATATAAAGGTCTTCATGAAAACATGATAAAAAACATCCTGATATATGTGGCCCTGATTTCCGCTTGGAGTTTATCTGGACGAAGGTACAGCGTTTCGGCATTAGTCACAGAGTCCCTCTGTAATGTCATAACCTCGGCCATCCCCGAACCTGTCAACCCCACCAAGACCTGCCATCTGCTTTCCGCAATTCATGCTCCGCGGGATTTCTCCGCGGGCCACATCAGGACAAGACAACAACGGCCCTCGACTTCAAGTTTGGCGGGAAACGACCGCGAACCGTTCCCTCCTAACCTCCTCCTGCAACGGTAATTCGGAGAAACAGGTGGACACCACCCTTGGGAGACGCGGGCTTTTGAACCAACGTTCGGTTCGGAATCCTTACCAGAAAGTTCGGAGCCAACCGAAGCAGCCAGCGCGAACCAGAAGCCGAACCGAAGCTCCCTGTGTCACCTGTTTGCTTGGTTTTGTTTGCCCCGCGCCGCTTAAATTGGTTGTGGCAGGCCAAGCCGCCTGCCCTAACCTGACGAGGGCAGGTGGGGGTGGCTCAGAGCTGGCGGGTCTTCTCACAGCAACCAGCAATTCTGCAAGGCGCGGGCAAACATGCTCTGTTACCTCTTGCAAGGGCAGGCTTTTACGGGCTGGCTACCTGCAGAGCTTATTTTACCTGCCCGAAATTGTTCTGTTGTTCAGAGCAGACTCCTGGGCCGTTTGTCTTGGCAAACCATAGCCCCTTGAGCTTTGCAGCTGCCACCAGCGCCTGCTCTGCTCTCGCCTGCCACATTGGTTTGGTTGGAGCTGACAGAGCACCTTGCTTCCCTAGAAGTCTCCTCTGACGGAGTTGCTTCCCAACTACGTTGGCTCCCGATTCTCCGTAGGAACAGACGGCAGAATTTTCCGTCAGACGCGTGACTGCAGCCAAACAAGTCGTCATGAGATGAGATTGAGACTCGACCGAATTAGCGAAACACTAGCGTCAGACAGCCTAGGCTGTCATAGGATACTCGTCTGCCGTGCTTGACGTTAGTTTGCTAAGCTCGAAAATAGTAGTTCGTCCTCCGCTCCAGTAGGTTACGATGTTTGTCCAGCTGACAAACACACAACTCTAATCGTCGAGCATAGCCCTTGATATCTACACGGACCTGGACCAGACCTAGTTACCAACTAGAGGTCGTATTTATCCCTAATAACCAGTTTTACGGTTCCTCTACCTGAGTGAGACATGCTGTAATGGCGGATAACCGTCCTTTCATGGCTAGCGCGTCAGGAGCGACCGAGCACGATTCGCTGGCCAGCTTTCCAGAACCTCACAGCAGCGGAGCTCCGCAGAGCAGCGGAGGGTACGACAGAGGCTATTCCGGCGGCATTCCGCGCGACAAGGAGGACGTGCTCAGGACGCTACCTCCCGTTACTGGGTGAGTGCGGCTTCCACCTGGCGCACGGACTGGGATAGCGAGTTTGGGGCACGGGGAATCGGCATTCGCGCGACGATGTGCGACAGCTCAGCGGTCCGTGTCGTGGAGACAAATAGCAGTCCCAGGCGGCTATGAGTCGGGCGCACGATGCTGGCTTCGAAGCATATCTCGTCGCTCTCCCTGCTCATCCCCTCTTCTCACCGCCTCTGCTCTCCTCTGCAACCCCCTGCCTTCCCTCCAGGCCTACGGGCGGACCCACCCGCCGGTCTTCAAGAGGTGGTTGGACCGCCGAAGAGGTAGGCACTCTGGCACCCATACCCGCGCCGCCACGTTCATATTTACTGGCCTGTGTGCGTTATGCAGACTGTCGGCGTCGGCCAGAGGAGTCCAGGAGCAGTTTCGAGTGGCACCAGCTTCTTCGTCGCGTTCCGTCGTTCTTTGTGGATCGGGCGAGTCTGACGCTCATCGCGTCTTTTCCTGTGCCTCCCTTGACTCGCTCTCCTTGTCGCAGGACGAAATCCTCCGGAGAGCAGTGCAGTGCTACAAGGGCAAGAACTGGCGTAAAATTGGTAAGCCTGGCGGTAAAGGTTGTGGGTGGCTGAGGTTAGGTGAGTCTGGCTGTTCGCTCGGAAACTATGGGCGCGTGGCAGGAAACAGGGCGATTCTAGCGAGAAATAGGTGAGATCGAGTGTTGTTGTCGGAGGAAACAGTGCGCTGGTAGATTGAGTGTTTGTGCCTTGTCTTTTTCTGCCACCCGCTCTCTCCTCCCCTCCCATTACTCCAGCCGAGTTCTTTCCCGATCGCACGGACGTGCAGTGCCTGCACCGATGGCAGAAGGTGCTCAACCCGGAGCTCGTCAAGGGGCCCTGGACCAAGGAGGTGAGGCACCCTGGACTAAGGAGGTGAGGCACCCTAAGCGAGATAGTGGGAGACCTCGGGAAACGCGTCCATGTGTCGCTTCCATCGTGCCTGTGATTTGACATGGCAATGCGGCGGGGGATGGCGACAGGTAAATTCCGAGGGGTCGTTGTACTTGGCCTCGAATGTTTACCACCACGACAGTCGTTGGACCTGCTGAATGCTCGTGTCTCCTTCGACTCCCTCCGCGTCCTTCCCGCCTTCATTTTCCGTTTCCGCGCGCGCCTCACGCCGACGCCCTCGTCCCCCGCCATGGCAGGAGGACGAGCGCATAACGGAGCTGGTGGCGCAGTACGGCGCGAAGAAGTGGTCGCTCATCGCGCAGCACCTGCCGGGGCGCATCGGCAAGCAGTGCCGCGAGCGGTGGCACAACCACCTGAACCCGGGCATCAAGAAGGAGGCGTGGGGCGACCACGAGGACGTGCAGCTCATCAAGGCGCACAAGCTCTTCGGCAACAAGTGGGCCGAAATCGCCAAGTTCCTGCCCGGCAGGTGCGTGCCCGCCGCGCGCCTGCTCTCTTTCCCCAGATGGATTGCCTGGTCGTGGGGGTTACTCACTGCTCCTCGCGCGCACGGAGAGGCTTTCCCCTTCGCGCTGATCCTGCAGCGTCCATTTGCCCATCCAACCACCCATGCGTTCGTCGCTGATTTTGTCTGTCATGCGCCATCCCTCCCCCTTCCCCTCCCCCGCCTCAGGACGGACAACTCGATCAAGAACCATTGGAACAGCTGCTTGAAGAAGCGCGCCGAGCTCTGCTCGCTCTCGGACCTCCTCGCCCTTCCGCCTTCCCCCGCGCTCCCCGAGATCCCCATCTCCGCGGAAGTGCTGCAGGCCGCGCGCGAGGGGAAGCCGCTTCCGCCCATCGGCGGAGACGGCGCCAGTGGGAGCGCGAGCGGGGGAGAGGAAGAGGAGAATGCGGGGGAGGAGGGAGACGAGGACGCGGAAGGGGAGGAGGGGGCGAGAGGGTGCGAGGGTAAAGGGAAGGGCAAGGGAAAGGAGCGGGTGGGGGAGAGGGGGAGTGGAGGGTCGCAGCAGGGTGAGGAGCAGCAGACGGGACAGATGGAAGTGGCGGTGGGGATGCCTGCGCTGCCCCGAGGCCAGTTCCAGGGGAGCGTTCAGGTGCTTCCGCAGCAAGTGGTGGTGAAGCTGGAGCAGCTGGAGGCACACCGGCAGCAGGAGCAACAGCAGGAGCGGGAGCAGGAACAACATCAACAACAGCAGGAGCAGGAGCAGGAGCAGCAGCAGCAGCAGCAGCAACCACGCCCGGTCGTCTCTGATGGTCGACCTGCTGCTGCTGCCGCGTCCGCACCCCGTCCTCCTACACCCGACGCCATCCCAATCCCCTCTGGCGTGACTCCCTCCGCCACCGCCCCTAGCGCAGTTGCCAGCGCGGGTCCCAACCCCCCCACCTTCCTGCCACGGCGCCCCGTCCCCTCGGTGCGCCTCTCATTGCCTGGAGCCCAAGCGGCAGCGCCGAACGGGACCCAACCGTTGTGCAACGTCTCACAGGCCGTATGCAACGGGCCCCAAGCCCAGCCTCAGCCTCAGCCGCAGCCGCAGCCGCAGCTCCAGGCCCAGCAGATGGCGCCTGGCGTGCACTTGACAAGTGGTCGCAGCCGCGTGGGGCCCACCGGCCGCACCATCACTCTGCTGGGCGGCAGACTGCCGTCCACGCTGGCCTGCTCGCCGGCTGAGAAAGGACCCCGACCCAAGGGAGATGGTGACGGCGATGCTGACGTGGCGCATGGTGCTGTGGCGCCACAGGGTGTGGGGCAGCAAGGTGCGAGGGCACAGAGCCAGCAGCAAGCTCAGCAGAACGGTCACTACCATCAGCGTTACCAGCACGAGCAGCAGCATCAGCATCAGCAGCAGTACCAGCATCAACAGCATCAACAGCATCAACAGCATCAACAGCATCATCACCAGCAGCAGCAGCAGCAGCAGCAGCAGCAGCAGCCTCGTGAAGCCCCACCGTCTAGCAATGGTTGCTTTCCGCCCTTCCCGCCTCCCTACGGTGGGTCCGCGCCCCTCAATGCTTCCGCTCCACTCGCCATCAACTCGTGCGCGCCTGTCAACTCTGCAGCTCCCCTCCGCATGCCCTCAGCACCGGCCCCAGTCAGCGCCAACGGCCCTAGAAGCTGCGCCAACACGCACTCCACCAGCACTGGCCCCATTCTCCCCCCCACCAGCTCCGCCCCTCCCCTCGCCCTGGGCTCCGCGCTTCTGTCCTCCGGGGCGCCCAGCAGCGGCGCGCAGGGCGGCGCTGCCGAGCCCAGCTTGCTGCGCATCGCCTCCAGCAGATCGCTCAGGGCGCCGGGCGGGGTAGGTGTTCAGCAGCACGCCATGCAGCCGCGCCAGCAGCAGCCACAGCAGCAGTATCAGAATGAGTCAGCCTTTGCTCCCCCCATGGATAGCTCGAGATACGCTGCTTCCACGTCTGCACCGGTCTCTGTTCGGCCTGCGCTCACTCTGCCTTCACCAGCCGCACTCTCTGCTGCCCCTCTTCCTCCTCCTGCTGCTGCCTCTGCTGCTGCGCCCCCCACTGGTGCCCCTGCCCCCACGTCCTTCCTGCACCTGCCCTCGCGGCCGCCTCTGACCCTCCCTCAAGCACAAGCACCGGTCAGCCACCAGCCGTACCAGTCTCAGCAGCAAGGACCCATGCAGCTCACAGGACCCGCTGACGCGCGGCAGCAGCAACAGCAAGCTCGGCAGCAGCAGCAGCAGCATGGACATCAGCAACAGCATCAACAGCAGCTGCCACCGCCACAGCCTGTGTACTACCAGAACCAAAGGCAGCAGCAACAGCAGACTCAGCAGGCTCTGCAGCCACCGCAGCAGTATCAACAGCAGCAGCAGCAGCAGCAGCAGCAGCAGTATCAACAGCAGCAGCAGCGGCAGCAGCCGCAGTATCAAGAGCAGCAGCAGTATCAACTGCAGCAGTATCAGAACGGGGCGATGCCACAACGGCACCAGCACGCCCTCCAAATGCCTTCCTGCCCTCCTCCCCCTCCACCGCACTCCATCATTGCCTCCTCTTCCTCCTCCGCCTACGCACTCACACCCTCCCTGTCGCCACCACCACCACCACCACCACCATCAGCAGCCCTCGCCCCCAGCCAGCCTCAGTTGGGCCATCAGCCGCGCTGCAGCTGCCCCATGCCCCACCCCGCCTCCACGCCTTGCTGCCCTGCCCGTGCTTCTGCTGCCCCCCCCCCTTCTCGCCCCGTTCTCTCCCTACCGCCGTCCTGCAACACAGGTCCACTGCATGACCAGCAACAGCAGCCGCAGCAGCCGCATCGACAAATGCCACCCCCAACCGCGCCACCACCAGCATCAGCACCAGCGCCAGCTCTGCTTTCAGTGCCGTTCATGCCCACTCAAGCACCAGCAGCACCACCAGCAGCACCAGCAGCAGCAGCTCCGGTGGCCCCTGCTGGCGCCCCCACTCCACCCCCCACTGCCATACAAGCAGACACCAAGCCGCAGCTGTGCCCACCCCAGGTGCCACCCCCTCTGCATCTTACGAGTGGCAGAAACACTGCGACGGGTGGCAGGAACGCTGTTACAGGTGGTAACACTGTTACGAACAGCAACACTGTGACAGGCGGAACTGTAGCACAAGGACGTGCAACAAAGTATTCAGAGGGAGCCTGGGAGGCAAGGAGAGAGGCGAAGCAGGAGAGTGGGGGGGGGCGAGGGGGCGAGGGCGCGGAGGAGGAGGAGGCGGCGGCGGTGCAGCGGCTGCTGAGTCTGGATGGGGCGGCAGCGGAGCCGCTGTTCCAGGCGGCGGAGCAGGCAGTGCACGAGTACCACGCCGCCCACAAGTACCACACCAACCAGGGCCTGCCCACCCGCACAGGTGAAGCCGGGTCCGTGGTCACTGTGATTGAGGCAGCGGCTCCTACTTCTGCTGCCGCTGCTGCTGCTGCCACTGCGGACGCTCCTGCTTCTGCTGCCGCCGTTGCCGCGGCAGCAGCATCGGTGCCGGGGCTGGTGACAGTGGAACGAACGGTGGACGACTCTCTCTTCTACGTGCCCCCCCAGCTCGACCACCTGGACGCCGCGCCCTCCACTGCCGTATCGTCCGCCCCTCCGCCCCTCGTGCCACTGCCCCCCCTCTTCGACTCGTTCCTCCTCAGCCCCACTGCGGGCCCCACCCTGCCCGCCTCGCTGCAGATCCCACCCATGACCCTCCCCTCCTCCTCCGCGCAGCCATTCTCCTCCCCACTCGGCCTGCGCCAGATGCTGCCTCCCCTGCCGTCCACCGGGTGCCAGACCCCCCGCCAGATGCAGCCTGCCGCACCCACCGTGGGCTGCCAAACGCCTGTGAACGCCATCTTCTCGGGGCTCTCGCCCTTCCTGTCGGGCCGCAGCCCCCCCTCATCGTCCGCCTCGCTGTCCATGTCGTGCCTGCTGCTCAGCGCGGGTCGCTCCCTGGACGGCCCGCCCTCCATCTTCCGCAAGCGGAGGCGCCTCATTGACGTCGCTGCCGCTGCTGCCACGCCACGAGCTGCTGCTGGTGCTGCTGACAGTGCTGCCCCTGCTGCTGGTGGTGCCGTGACTGCAGCAGATGGTGGAGAGGAACGGGGGGAGCAGAAGCAGAGGGAGAAAGGTGCAGAGGCAGAGGCGGAGTCGAAGTCTGGCAGGGTGCTCGCGCTGATGAGGGAGCAGCCGGAGGGACTGGGCAGTGTGCAGCGCAGAGAGGGTACAGCAGATGGCCCAGCGAGTGCAGCTGGGACTGGCGAAAATTGTGGCAGTAAAGAGTGTGATAAAGGCGATGGTCACACTGTACTGTGTGATAATGGTGGGCTGGTTCTGAGGATGGGCAATGGCGATGTTGGCAACAAGCGCAGGAGTGACAGTGGGAGAACGAGTGAGGGCGGGAGTGAGGCTTATATTAAGGGAGGCCCTGTGGGCTTGCAGCAGCGGAAGGAGAGGAGCGCGGAGAAGAGAGAGACTGACTGCATGCTGATGGCTGGGAAGGATGGCCGTACGTCTTGCATGGGATGCGAGGAGGAGAAAGAGCAAGAGGTGGCAGAGAAGGAAGAGAGAGAGGGTAAAAAGGAGAAAGTGGAGGCAGGCGAGGAGGAAGTGGAGGAAGCAGAGGAGGAGGTGCATGAGGAGGAGAGCGAGGAGAGCGAGGAGGGAAGTGAGGAGGAGGGCGTGGAGGAGGACGAGGACCCGGCTGATTTTGCGCTGCCTGCGGCTGCGATTGACAGTGAGGGAGGGGAGGGTGGCGCTCACTCGGCCCCGGTGACGTGGACGCTGACACGCGGCAAGAGCGTGAGTCCCGAGGGCAAGAAGCGCGCCAGGGAGGGCGAGCAGGACGGGGCGAAGGGTGGGGAGAGGGCAGGAGGGGGAGGAGGAGGAGCAAGGCAGGAGGGGAGGGTGTCTCCAAGGAAGCAGCTGACGCTGGATGCAGGTGTTGATGCTACCATGCATGCTGCTGCCACTGCTGCTTCTGCGGGCGCGAGTGACGCTGATGTGCTCATGCAGGATGCAAGTGCCGCTGCTGCTACCACTGCTGCTGGCAGGGGCTGTTTGCCCCTCAGCCGTGTGCTGCACCTGGAGCTGGATGCTGCTGCTGACGCCCACGCGCATGACCCTGTCAGAGGCAGCAAGCCAGATAATAAGCCCTCTTATCAGCACTCCAATCAGCAGCAGCAGCAGCAGCAGCAGGAGGATCCTTCCTCTAGAAAGCCTCTTTCCTCGTCCTCCACACTTCCCTCCCCCCCTCTCTGTGTTTCCGCGTCCTCCACTCGAGATTCCTCCTCCCCATCTTCCCTCGCAGCTGCACCCTCTTCAGACACCCCCTCCACCCCCTCTCATGCTGCCACTGCGCCTGCTGCTGCTGGCGCCGCCACGACTGCAGCTACTGCGACCGCTGCTGCTACAGCTTCTGGAGAGGCAGCAGCAGCACTACTGGCGCCGTCACTGGCAGCACCAAAGCCAACTGGTGCCGGGCCAGCAGGAGCGGTTGGGACAGCAGGAGTGGTGGGACGGTCGCGACTGGGTACAGTCCCCGTGGTGGCCTCTCCCAGACTGGGTGCGCTGGGGCCAGTGGAGACAGATGGAGGGAAGGTGAAAGCGAGTGAGGAGGGGAGAGCAGGTGGGGAAAAGGCGAGCCAAGGGAGCAAGTGCGAAGTGGAGTCAGGCGCAGGCCAACACAAGGGTGCAGCCTTGAAGGCGCACACCAGGCGGCTCATCCGCAAGGTGCTGCCCGGGGGAGGTGTTGACTGGCAGGTGGCAGCTGTTGGGCCTGGGCTGGCGAGCCTGAGGGGGATCCTGCAGGCTGCTTCCGGCGCTCCCCCGCCGCTTGCAGGCACACTGGGCACACACACGGGCACAGCTGCCGCTGGCACAAGAGCAGCAGCAGTGGCGTTGCCAGCAGGACCGTTTGGATCTGGGCGTCTGTTGTCCTCTGCAGCGACTGCAGCAGCAGCCAAGGCTTGGCCCGCACCTAGAGAGCTTTCCTCGCCAGAGCTGGCAGGTTCGGGTGCGAGTGTGAGATACACGGGGTGCTACAGCAGCTGCAGCGGCAGCCAGTCGTGCATGAGCGGCGCCCTGTCGCCCTCACTGACCCCTGTGACCTCCCCCCCGGCCGCCGCGCTGATGGCCGCCACCACCACCATGGCGTCCGCCACCGTCACCTCTGCTGCCGCCACTGCTGCGCCCCCGCCCCTGCAAATGCCCTCCCCCGCACAGCCCCAGATGCCGCTGGCGCGCGGCAAGGTGGGTGGCAGGGCGGCGAGTGGGAGAGGGGCTCGTGCTGCTGCTGCGAGCAGTGATGGTGCTGCTGCTGCTCGCGTTGCTGCTTCTGGTGCTGGTTGCGCTCGTGCTGGTTGCGCTAGTGCTGGCACTGCTGCCGGTGATGCTGAGTGTGCGTCTGCAGAAGTTGGGGATGCTACAGTAGCAGAGGTTGGAGAGGCAGTGGCTGTGGTGGGCACTAGTGCCACTGATGGCGACCGGGCTGCTGCTACATCTGCCCCCGCCACTTCTGCAGCACCTGGTGTACGTGATGGTGATGGTGATGGTGATGGTGATGGGGACGGTGATGGCAATGAGGAGGCAGACCCCCTCAAATGCACGGAGGCGGTAAGTGAGGTGGTCCCAGCAGCGCCAGCTGAAGGCAAGCTATGCACCGCACTAGCACCAGTCAGTACCTCCCCCAGTCCTCCCCGCCCCGCAAAGCGGCCCTTCCCTGGTCACGATGACACCGACCCACCCCATGAGACCATCGCTGGTGCTGATGCGTCTCCAGCGCTTGCTGCAGGTGGTGCTGCAGGTGGTGCTGCAGGTGGGGTGCGAGAAGGTGCCAGAGGAGTGGGTGGTGGGGAGGCAGGAGCAGGAGCAGCAGCAGCAGGCGGAGAGGCGGGTTGCCAGAGGAAGGTGAGGCGGGTGAGGCCACCGCTGCACCGATGCATGGCCAAGCCACAGCAGCAAGGGCAGGGGCAGGGGCAGGCAGAAGGGCAGGCAGAGGGAGTGGGTGGAGAGGCAGATGATGCCGCAGTGCGCAGCTGTGCTGTGCTGTCTCCCCCGCCTGTCAAGTGTGTGGCAGCGGCGCCGGCAGCAGATGGGCAGGGTAGCAGCGCTGGGCGAGCAGTGGCAGTGGGTGGTAGTGTGGGGCCGGGTGGAGGGGGAGAGGGGGCGGAGGGGCAGTGGGTGCTGCAGGAGGTGGGGGTGGATGGGTCGCTCTTCTCCCCAACGCCCTCGCGTGCCGCCATGGCGGGCGTGGGGTCGCTCGCCTCGCCCATGTCGCCCTTCACCGCGCGCTGGCTCTCGGTGCGTTGCCCCTCCTCTCCCCCTTTCTGCTTCCCTTGGCTCCCTGTTCCTCCCCCAAGCACTTCCCTCAATCACTAGAGCGCCCCAACACCAAGTGTCATGGCCTCATGTTTCTGCCTGTTCCCCCCACCCCTCCCCCCTCTCCCCTGCAGCCCGTGAGGCCGCAGGCGCTGGCGTCGCTGGACGTGTTCTGCTGCAGCACCCCTGCGTCGCTGCGCAAGGCGGGCTTTGCTGCGCGCGCCGCCTGCATGGACGCCGCTGACACCGCCCACTGCGACCTGGCGGGGGGCGCTGCTGGGCTGGGCAAGAGCACATGGGGAGAGCCCATCAGCCCTGCGAGCTACCTGCTGCGGGAGTACCGTTGAGGGTGCACCGCGCCGCAGGTGTTGCGCTGTGAAGGAGGTCAGACTTCATTCGTGTGATTCAACCTCGACTGCAGTACTACGCGCATACTTTAGAAGGTAATTGTAGATAGCTATTATACTTGACAAGAACTGAAAGGACCTCACTTTCTTGTTCTGCGTGTATGCATTGTCGATAAGTAGATAGGCAGCCACAGATATAACTATTTAAGCTAGGAACTTAGCTACTAGCTACTAGTGTTTTGTTATTGTTTTGATCTAACTTCTTTGCATTTATATGATGCAAACAGTGTTACTCATACGTGGTTAGAGTGACAACATTTGCTGCAGCTTCCAATCATAGGGGCTTGAGTGGATGGCTACACGCGACAATAACCTTAGACTTGCACACGCAAGTTTGCAGTTGGTCGTGCATAATTTACTCTATCGCGTATGCCCTAAGCGGTGAGCGAGCTCCCACCCCGTGACACGCCCGTAGCACGGGTTGCAGTCGGCGCAATGCTCACCCACTGGCTCCGCCTGTCCCTTCCGCGCGCGCCACTGCTACCGCCACTCGCGGCTGACCGCTTCGCGCCTGCGCGCGCCGAGGCAGGAAGCGGGGAGCGAGCGGAAGGTGGGGGGAAGAGAGGCGGCGGGAATGGGGGGAGCGGGGAAGGCGCGCCGCCGTTTGAGTCCAATCAGCGGTCGGCGCGAGCGTATGGGGGGGAAAAGGGCCCCGGGAGAACGAGCCGGAGTGGCGGAAGGGAGCGGAGGAAGGCTGCGGCGGAGGAAGCGGAGAGCGCTGGCGGGGCCGTGGCGGATTCAGTTCGGCGGAACGCGCAGCTGACGGCGGAGGCGCTGCGCAGCAAGAGCCGCCGCGCGAAGAGATGGCTCGGACAGGTGGATGGAGTGAGGGGGGGAAAGGATGGTGAGGCAAGGAGGCGCCCTGCAACGCGCATGGATGGCATGGCATGGCATGGCAGGGCATGGCAGTTCATGGCATGGCATGATGGTCGAAGGACATTGCTCAACATCATGTCGTGAGCCGCGCAGGCATGCGCTCTTCAGCACCATGGCTCAGAGTGCTCACATGCATGCACCGCACCCCTGCACCCTGTACACTGCACCCTGCACCATACCCTGCACCCTATACCCTATACCCTGCACCCTATACCCTATACCCTGCACACTGTACCACATTCTGTCCATTCCTGCATCTCTTCCCTGCCACGTCAGCACTACATGCTGCATGATGACATCAGCAGGGCCACGGTGGCAGCAGCGGCCATCCAGCGGGGCGACCTAGTGCTGGAGGTGGGGCCGGGCACCGGGGCGCTCACGGCGGCGCTGGTGGAGGCGGGGGCGCACGTGATAGCGGTGGAGAAGGTGCGCTGTGGTAGGGGGGGAGAAGGTGCGCTGTGGGGACTTGGGGCTTGACGTGGGGCGTGGCTGGGGGGCTATTGGGGCTCATGCTGTCCACGTGGGGCGCCCACAGCCGCGCTGGTGGAGGGGGGGCGCGTCTTTGTGGTGGAGAAGGTGCAAGTAGACGTTGTGGCGGTGCACCACCCTCATTCGTGCCCTCGCTCTCTCACCCTCTTGCACCCTCCTGCCATCTCATTGCCATCTCCCTATCCTTGCCATCTCCCTATCCTTGCCATCTCCCTATCCTTGCCATCTCCCTATCCTTGCCATCTCCCTATCCTTTCCATCTCCCTATCCTTCTCTTCGCCCTTGCTCTCTCACTCTCTCACCTTTGCGCTCTCCCTTTGTCTCCCCATCCCTCCTTTTTCACTTCCTCTCCCCAGCTTCCCCCTCCCCCCCTACCCTTTCATATATCTCTCTCTAGTGCATGTGTTCCCTGCAATCGATGCTACTTTGCCTGGCCATTCTCACCCCACCCGCCCCATGCGCTCCTGCAACGCCCCTGCCTGCCACATCTCTGCACCGCGCAGGACCCTGACATGGTGCAGCTGGTGCGCGAGAGATTCGCCCACTGCCCGCAAGTAGAGGTGCGCGCTTTGTTGAGCCGCGACTCCTGCTGCCGCTGCGCGCATCTGTGCTGGGGGGAGTTAATGGCGGAGGGCTAGGGGGGGAGGGTGGGACTGGCGGTTGCAGGTGGCGAGGCTGGTGGGTGTGGGGTTGGGGGTGAGGGTGGGGGTGAGGGTGGGGGTGAGGGTGAGCAAAGACGTGGCGAGAGTGGTGAGGGTCATGTGTTGGGTTTGGTGCTCGCCCTTGCTGCTGCGCGTGGTTCAAGTAGCAATCTCCCTTGGCCCATACGCCTTGTGGCGCAGGTGTGCACTAGTCCACATCCCTCCTCACTCTCATCCCCTCCCACCACCCATGTCCCCCCGTCCTCTGCTCCGCCGCCGCCCCCTCCTCGCCCCCCACTGCAGGCGCTGCATGCTCAAGTGGCCCATGCGGACTGAGAGCCCCTTAACTCACCTCACCGGAACCTCACCTGCTCCTTTCCCTGCCGCGGCGCCTGCATGTCCCATGCACTGCAGCTGCTGCATGGGGCGTCCTCAGGTGGCCCATTCTCCACTGGCCCGTGCGCGCTGAGCGCCCCTCACTGCACCTCACCTGTTCCCCGCCCACGCATGCCTGGCCCCCGTCGTTCCACGGCAGGTGGTGCACGCGGACATCCTCAAGTGGCCCGTGCAGGCACACCTCGCCATGCGCCTGCACCACCCACTGCGAGGGGCGGATGGGGCTGCGGCGGAGGGCCGTGGGGCAGGCGCGCGTGGGGGGGCAGCAGAAGGCGCGCGTGGGACGGACGGGCAGGCGGGAGAGGCAGCGCTGCCCCTCACTGCTGGTGACCGGTTGCCCGCTGCCCCCGCGCCTGGCGTGGCTGGCAACAGAAGCAGGGAGTCGCTGGGTGTCAGCAGCAGCGGCCAACGCGCCAAGGTGGGCGTGCAGAGGCAAGCCGAAGGCAGCCGGTGCACCGTGATTCGCTGGTGGCAGCTTTCTGTGCCTCGCTGCACCATTCGGTGCTCCAACCTTTCTAACGAAAGTTGTCCTTTCTTCCTCTTCCCCTCATTTCCTCCTTCCCCCTCCTCTCCTTTCCTCCTTCCCCCTCCTCTCCTTTCCTCCTTCCCCCTCCTCTCCCTCCTCCGTTCCCCTCCTCTCCCTCCTCTGTCCCCCTCCTCTCCCTCCTCTGTCCCACTTCTCTCATTCCACCCACCCACCCACCCACCCACACCTCCAAGCCAGTAATCCTCTGGCCGTCTCTCACTCTCTTGTTCATCCCCCGACTTCACACCAACCATTCTCCAACCCGCCAGCCCTTCCCCTTCCGTTTCTCTCTTTCTCTGGCAGGTGGTGCGAATGGGGCCCTTCAACGTCACCGCCTCCCCGCTGCCCTTGCCTCCCCCTCTCCCCCTGCACCCCCCTACTGACCCCCTACTTGTGCAGGTAGTGACAAACATGCCCTTCAACATCACCACACCACGCCCACCTCACCCCCCTCCCTCTCCCCCCTCCCTCTCCCCCCTCCCTCTCCCCCCTCCCTCTCCCCCCTCCCTCTCCCCCCTCCCTCTTCCCCCTCCCTCTTCCCCCTCCCTCTCCCCCCTCCCTCTCCCCCTCCCTCCCCCCCCTCCCTCTCCCCCCTCCCTCCCCCCCCTGCACCCCCCTGCTGACCCACCACCCGGTGTGCAGGTGGTGACAAACCTGCCCTTCAACATCACCACGGACTTCCTCCGCCTCTTCCTCCCCCTCGGCCACCTCGTCGCCACCGTCGTCTGCATGCTGCAGGTGAGGGCTGCCATGGCATGCGCTGTGGCATGCTGCACTGGGGGGCTGGGATGCCATGTGATGTATGCCATGCGTGCCGGAGGTGGGGACTGGGATGTGATTGTTAGAAAACGAGGAGAGAAGGGATTAACTGTAGAGGGAGTGATACAGGGTTATATGCCTAGGGAGCCAATCCTAGGTCAAGGGGGGTTTGACCAATTCAACCATCATTGGTTAGACCAATGATGGTTGGGAAGGTTGGACCACCAATGATTGAGGAGCCAATAATGTTGGTGGAAGACCAACAGAATTGTACCCCTCAATAGTTGGGGTCAAGGGTTGGTTGAATATCCAACTCCAACCTTCATCTACACCCCTAGATAACCCAACTGGGTTATAATACCCAAGTATAAGGAACTATGTAGGATAAAGAGAATGTTATATTCTAGCACAACCCCTTAGGCTGCATAGTGAGAGAATACTCGGGTCGGAGACAACACCCTGAATCAGGTGGGGCGGGAGGTGGAGGGGCGAATCCCAGGAGAAGGAGCGCCACAACGGGGAGGCGATGCGAGGCTTGCGAAGGTGCGTATAGGTGCGCTTGCACGGGGGGCAAGGTGGTGCAGCGCGGGGGGAGGTGATGCAACAACGGGGGAGGTGGTGAAACGGCGGGGGAGGTGATGCAGTGGCGGGGGAGGTGGTGCAGCGGCGGGGGAGGTGGTGCAGCGGCGGGGGAGGTGGTGCAGCGGCGGGGGAGGTGGTGCAGCGGCGGGGGAGGTGATGCAGCGGCGGGGGAGGGGATGCAGCGGCGGGGGAGGTGGTGCAGCGGCCGGGGAGGGGATGCAGCGGCGGGGGAAGTGGTGCAAAGGCGGGGGTGTTGCAGCGGCGGGGGAGGTGGTGCAGCGGCAAGCGGCGGGGATGATGGGAGCGGCTGTGAGCGGCGGTGGTGGAGGTAGTGGCGACGAGCGGCGTGGGCTAAGGCAGCAGTGGCGGTGGCGGCGTCGCAGCGAGGAAAGCGGGGGTAGGAGCGAGGGAGGGGCGGGTGTGACCGTCGCGACGTCGTGGGACGTGCGCGGTAATGGCGACGGGCAGGGCGTCGGATGGGTTCTGAATGACCGCCTGAATGACAAAGGCGTCCTGCCAGCGGGCTGCGTCGTGGCATGCCATTGCCTCCTCATAAGTGCCGGGTTCGAAGATGGTTGGCGCGCCGGAGAGGACGAAGACGGGAGTGCACGCGATGCGGAGGGTGATGGAAACAAGGAGCGGGTTTAGGTGATGTGTTTTGAGCATCTCGTCATGAGATCCTCTTGGACGAGGGGAGGAAGAGGGGGAGGAGGTGGTGCTTGTGTTGAAGTTGCACAGTGGTTCCCACGGAGGAGGCCAGAGGGCGTAGTCAAGGGTTGGCGCCGGGAGGTGAAGGGTGGTGCCGAGAGCGCGAGGGCGGGTCGGCGCCGGGAGGTGAAGGGCGGTGCTGAGAGTGTGAGGATACCGGGTGCTGGTGCAAGCGAAGGTCTGGGTATGTATTGGAAAGGAAGGGGAGGCTGAGAAGGGGGGACGGAGGTGATGAGGGCATGGGGGGGAGGAGGAGCGCCAATAAGGGAATCAAGGGAGCGGGTATGGCGTCGGGAGGGGAGGCGAGGTGGGGGGGGAGGTGGTGGGGGCGGGGAGGGGAGCTCTGGATGGGGAAAGGGCTTCAGCCGGGTGAGCTGTAGCGACAAAGGTGCCGTGTCCCCAGAAAGCCAGCGGCTGGGGGAGAGGCGGTGAGGGAGGAGGAGGGTGGGGGCCTGATAGTGCTGCTGGTACTGCGGCGGCCAGGGCTGAAGGGGCTGCTGTAATGGCGGCCGTAAGCGAACATGCTGCTGTGGGGGGTAGGTGGAGGGCGGAGGAGTGGAGACCGCCACGGCGCAGATGGCAAGCAGTTGGTGCAGTGGCAGGGGAGGTGATGCAGCGGCGGGGGAGGTGGTGCAGCGGCGGGGGAGGTGGTGCAGCGGCGGGGGAGGTGATGCAGCGGCGGGGGAGGTGGTGCAGCGGCGGGGGAGGTGGTGCAGCGGCAGGGGAGGTGGTGCAGCGGCGGGGGAGGCGATGCAGCGGCGGGGGAGGTGGCGCAGTGGCGGGGGAGGTGGTGCAGCAGCGGGGGAGGTGGTGCAGCGGCGGGGGAGGTGTTGCAGCGGCGGGGGAGGTGATGCAGCGGCGGGGGAGGTGGTGCAGCGGCGGGGGAGGTGATGCAGCGGCGGGGGAGGTGATGCAAAGGCGGGGGAGGTGATGCAGGGTCGGGGAGGATCGAGCGGGGCGTTTGCCTGAAGCTCTGATAACCATGTTAGAATACAAGAAGAGAAGGGATTAACTGTAGAGGGAGTGATACAGGGTTATATACTTAGGGGGCCAATCCTAGGGCAAGGGGGGTTTGACCAATCCAACCATCATTGGTTAGACGAATGATGGTTGGGAAGGTTGGACCACCAATGATTGAGGAGCCAATAATGTTGGGGGAAGACCAATAGAATCGAAATCCTCGATAGTTGGGGTCAAGGGTTGGTTGAATATCCAACCCCAACCTTAATCTACACCCCTAGATAACCCAACTGGGTTATAATACCCAAATATAAGGAACAATGTAGGAAAAAGAGAATGTTATATTCTAACAGTGATGGCATGCAGATGGCATGTTGATGGCATGCTAATGGCATGCTGCTTGTCGTGATGTGGGTGTGTGACATCGTGCTGCTGCAATGCAGGTATGTTCCATCTGCCCCCTTAGCACTAAGTTGGCACTTTACGCCCCTACAGGTCACGTAAACGTACATTTACGTTTACGTTTACGCTGGTTTACGCGTATGTTTACGTAATCTCATCTTCTTGGTGACGGCAAAGGTGTGGCAGCTTGCAAGAAAGTCACGGTCGAAGCAAAAGCAAGTATTCAAGAGCATCTTATGCAGAAAGAGGGGACTTCACAGTCGCGTAACCGTGCAGCAAGTTGCACTCTAGCCGCATTCTCGAATCTGACCAAGAGTAGTTTGGTTAGTTTTAGGAAGGAGTCTACCAGCAGCGACGGACGGAAGCGGTAGAAGGCTCTTCCGGAATGCTGCCCTGCAGTAGGTGACATTAAGAGCGCGCAGCAGGCCATAGCTACTTTTTTCCATGTGTGCCGTATCCCTGCCCATGTAGCAGAACAGGCGGCATTGAAGCACATGATGAGAACAGTGGGCGCTGCTGGTCCTGGTGTCCATCCCCCGGGACGCAACCTCATCATGGGCTGGCTTCTGCAGGAGTGCAAGTCGAATACAGAGACCGCTATGAAGCTGATAATGGATTTATGGAGCGAAGTTGGCGTTTGTATCGCTACTGACGGATGGACGGACACTCAGGACCGCCCACAACTGAACTTCCTCGCGGTTAACACCTACGGCTCCGTGTTCCTCTTTAGTGTTGATTGCATGAGCGAGAAGAAGACTGGTGCCTTCATTGCTACACACTTGATGAGGGCAATCGAAATGGTGGGAGCGGACAACGTCGTCGGCTTGTTGATGGATGGTGCAAGCAACAATGTCAGCGCGGCTAACATCATCAAGCTCGAGTATCCGAAGATTCAGTTCATCCGATGTGCTGCTCACTCCTTGAATAATCTCATGAAAGACATTGGAGACCGTCCTTGGGCTGCAGATATCATCTCCAAGGGGCAGCAGTTGATCTCCACTTTGAAGAACACTCAATGGATTACGAGCTTCTTCCGTGAGCGCAAGTCACTCGCGCTGTTGAAACCCGCGGGGACTCGGTTCGGCACAAACTTCATCGCTTTGGAATGGCTGTTGGAGGTCCGGGAGCTACTTGATAGCATGGTGAGCAGCCAAAGGTGGAAGGACTTAACCAAGAAGAAGGAGAAGTTTGTGTGGGCCCGAGAAGTCATCCGAGATGATGAATTCTAGGATGGGGTGGCCTGTGTGCTCGATGCCTTCAAGCCGATCTTTGTGCAGCTGAGGGAGGTCGATGGTATGCAAGAGGTCATGGGGAAGATGTATGATATGATGTTCCTGTTGGAGGACTCAGTGAAGGATGCATGCAAGGGGCTGGCGGAGCGAGAGAAGGAATGGGTGGCTGATGCGGTGCGGAACAGGTGGAACAACTCGACCAACTGCCCGTTGCACGTGGCTGGCCGTATCCTCTACCCCCCCAACCAGTTTGAAAAGATCCTCGGACCGGATTCGGAGTGTTCTGAGATCTTCAAAGCCTTCATCCGTGACTATTATAGGAGGGACTCTGTTATTGATGAAGATGGGGATACGCATCCTCTTGCCACGATTGTGGAGAGGGAGGTGCGGGCTTATATGAGAGGGGAAGGGGAACTTGGTGGGTAGAAGGCATGCCTCGAGCATGATCTCATTAAAAAGGGTAAGTTGGATCCCGCACAGTGGTGGAAATTCAATGGGTCCTCATGCCCCCACCTTTCAAACTCGCCTCAAGGGTCCTCAAGCAATGCGTTTCGGCGTCCGCGTGCGAAACCAATTGGGCAGTTTGGGAGGCTATTGACACCACCCGCCGCAACCGACTTGGGGCAAGGAGGCTCGCCGATCTAGTTTACGTAACTCACAACTACAATATGTGCGTAAGCTGAACGAGGAGTTCGAAAAGAGGATGCTGCTTTCAGCGCTGACGACTGTTCACGAGAGCGTGGACCTTGACAATTATGAGCCCTTAGATGATCATGATGTTCAGGAAAGTTGTTACGAAGGCGATGGTGAAGAGGTGTGGCCGAGTGAGTAGAATAGTCTTAGCCATGGTTTTGATTTTGCCCCTAGAAGCTCTGGTATTGTCTTTCTGTACTGTTTGACAGCACTGGAATGACGAACTCTTACTCCCCTCTAACTTTTTTTTTCCAGCAGACCGTAAACCTAAAGCCTTTTCAGGCCCACGTACGTAAACGTAACTTTACTACGTAAACTAGTGTAAACATAAACCAGTGTAAACGTAAACTGCCAACTTAGCCTTAGCATGTTCCATCTTCCCCCTTAGCATGTTCCATCTGCCCCCTTAGCATGTTCCATCTGCCCCCTTAGTATGTTCCATCTGTCCCCTTAGCATGTCCCATCTGTTCCCTTAGCATGTTCCATCTGCCCCCTTAGCATGTGTTCCATCTGCTCCCTTTGCATGTTCCATCTGCCCCCTTAGCATGTTCCATCTTCCCACTTAGCATGTTCCATCTGCCCCCGTAGCATGTTCCATCTGCCCCCTTAGCATTGCACAGTGCTTTGAGGCGTGCCTCGAAGCATGTGACTTCCCGCACATCCGGTGCGTGGCAGCAGAGTGGCGCTCATGAGCACGCCTCATGATCTGCACCATCCCCCCCATCCCCCCATGGCAGGATGAGGCGGCACAGCGCCTCGTGGATGCCTCGCCTGCACCCTCGCAGTACCGACCAATGAGTGTCTTTGTCACCTACTATGCAGGTGGGCGTCTTCGTCCCCTACTATGCAGGTTGTTGCTCCCACTCCCGCGTTGGCGGCACCTGTCCCGCCAGCATGCAGCAGTGCTTCAGTCCACTCCGTCGAGTGTGCAACTGCCTTTGGGACATTCCGTTCTCGGCACAGCACTGTTGCTCACTCCCCGTGTTCCTGTGCGCTCTCCTCTGCACCCCTCTCATGCGTCTCTCGTTTCATATCTGCCTTCCATCCACTCGTGTCCTTACAACACCTCTTTCAGCCGTCTCATCCTTTCCTGTCCTCACCTTGTCTCATCCTTTCCTGTCCTCACCTTGTGTCCGCCACCTGTTGTGTTGCTACCGCCTGTGTGGCTCTGTATCAATTCTAACCCTACCGTATCGTGCCCGCAGACCCCACCTACCAATTCTTTGTCAGCCGCCGCAGCTTCCTGCCTCCACCCAATGTACGTGCCATGCACCCAATGTACGTGCCATGCACCCAATGTACGTACGTGCCATGCACCCAATGTACGTGCCATGCACCCAATGTACGTGCCATGCACCCAATGTACGTGCCATGCACCCAATGTACATGCCATGCACCCAATGTACGTGCCATGCACCCAATGTACGTGCCATGCACCCAATGTACGTGGCATGCACCCAATGTGCGTGCCATGCACCCAATGTACGTGCCATGCACCCAATGTACATGCCATGCACCCAATGTGCGTGCCATGCACCCAATGTGCGTGCCATGCACCCAATGTACGTGCCTTGCACCCAATGTACGTGCCATGCACCCAATGTACGTGCCATGCACCCAATGTACGTGGCATGCACCCAATGTGCGTGCCATGCACCCAATGTACGTGCCATGCACCCAATGTACATGCCATGCACCCAATGTGCGTGCCATGCACCCAATGTACGTGCCATGCACCCAATGTACGTGCCATGCACCCAATGTACGTGCCATGCACCCAATGTACGTGGCATGCACCCAATGTGCGTGCCATGCACCCAATGTACGTGCCATGCACCCAATGTACGTGCCATGCACCCAATGTACGTGCCATGCACCCAATGTACATGCCATGCACCCAATGTGCGTGCCATGCACCCAATGTACGTGCCATGCACCCAATGTACGTGCCATGCACCCAATGTACGTGCCATGCACCCAATGTACGTGGCATGCACCCAATGTGCGTGCCATGCACCCAATGTACGTGCCATGCACCCAATGTACATGCCATGCACCCAATGTGCGTGCCATGCACCCAATGTGCGTGCCATGCACCCAATGTACGTGCCATGCACCCAATGTACGTGCCATGCACCCAATGTACGTGCCATGCACCCAATGTACGTGGCATGCACCCAATGTGCGTGCCATGCACCCAATGTACGTGCCATGCACCCAATGTACATGCCATGCACCCAATGTGCGTGCCATGCACCCAATGTACGTGCCATGCACCCAATGTACGTGCCATGCACCCAATGTACGTGCCATGCACCCAATGTACGTGGCATGCACCCAATGTGCGTGCCATGCACCCAATGTACGTGCCATGCACCCAATGTACGTGCCATGCACCCAATGTACGTGCCATGCACCCAATGTACATGCCATGCACCCAATGTACGTGCCATGCACCCAATGTACGTGCCATGCACCCAATGTACGTGCCATGCACCCAATGTACGTGCCATGCACCCAATGTACGTGCCATGCACCCAATGTACATGCCATGCACCCAATGTGCGTGCCATGCACCCAATGTACGTGCCATGCACCCAATGTACGTGCCATGCACCCAATGTACGTGCCATGCACCCAATGTACGTGGCATGCACCCAATGTGCGTGCCATGCACCCAATGTACGTGCCATGCACCCAATGTACATGCCATGCACCCAATGTGCGTGCCATGCACCCAATGTGCGTGCCATGCACCCAATGTACGTGCCATGCACCCAATGTACGTGCCATGCACCCAATGTACGTGCCATGCACCCAATGTACGTGGCATGCACCCAATGTGCGTGCCATGCACCCAATGTACGTGCCATGCACCCAATGTACATGCCATGCACCCAATGTGCGTGCCATGCACCCAATGTACGTGCCATGCACCCAATGTACGTGCCATGCACCCAATGTACGTGCCATGCACCCAATGTACGTGGCATGCACCCAATGTGCGTGCCATGCACCCAATGTACGTGCCATGCACCCAATGTACGTGCCATGCACCCAATGTACGTGCCATGCACCCAATGTACATGCCATGCACCCAATGTACGTGCCATGCACCCAATGTACGTGCCATGCACCCAATGTACGTGCCATGCACCCAATGTACGTGCCATGCACCCAATGTACATGCCATGCACCCAATGTGCGTGCCATGCACCCAATGTACGTGCCATGCACCCAATGTACGTGCCATGCACCCAATGTACGTGCCATGCACCCAATGTACGTGGCATGCACCCAATGTGCGTGCCATGCACCCAATGTACGTGCCATGCACCCAATGTACATGCCATGCACCCAATGTGCGTGCCATGCACCCAATGTGCGTGCCATGCACCCAATGTACGTGCCATGCACCCAATGTACGTGCCATGCACCCAATGTACATGCCATGCACCCAATGTGCGTGCCATGCACCCAATGTGCGTGCCATGCACCCAATGTACGTGCCATGCACCCAATGTACGTGCCATGCACCCAATGTACGTGCCATGCACCCAATGTACGTGGCATGCACCCAATGTGCGTGCCATGCACCCAATGTACGTGCCATGCACCCAATGTACATGCCATGCACCCAATGTGCGTGCCATGCACCCAATGTACGTGCCATGCACCCAATGTACGTGCCATGCACCCAATGTACGTGCCATGCACCCAATGTACGTGGCATGCACCCAATGTGCGTGCCATGCACCCAATGTACGTGCCATGCACCCAATGTACGTGCCATGCACCCAATGTACGTGCCATGCACCCAATGTACATGCCATGCACCCAATGTACGTGCCATGCACCCAATGTACGTGCCACGCACCCAATGTACGTGCCATGCACCCAATGTACATGCCATGCACCCAATGTACGTGCCATGCACCCAATGTACGTGCCATGCACCCAATGTACATGCCATGCACCCAATGTACGTGCCATGCACCCAATGTACGTGCCACGCACCCAATGTACATGCCATGCACCCAATGTACATGCCTTGCGCCCAAATTCCTTTCCAGCATATCCAACCTGCCAAGCATAGTTGTCTCCATTTCCCATCAAACCATTGCGTGGCAGGTCGATGCAGCCGTGGTGTCTTTCGCTCTGAAGCCACCAATGGCACGAGTCCACGTGGCATCACCCTCTGAGTTCTTCAACATGGTAACCACCCTCCCACCCTTGCTACCATCGCCACCCCCACCACCCCCACCACCCCCGTCGCCCCCACGGCCCCCACCACCTTCTGGTCGTGCGGGCGCCTCATCTGGCGGCACCTTCTTTCATTGTGGTCCTGCACGCGCCGCAGGCCATCTATTGCTCGGTGCTGCGCCACACAGAGCTTCCCACTTGCCTCCAGCTCTGTGGTCATCACTGTTGCCTCCGCCCCTCCTCTCTCCGCCCCACACGTCACACCACACCACACCACACCGCACCACACCACACCGCCAGGTGAACATGGCCTTCCAGGCGAAGCGCAAGATGCTGCGGTCATCCCTGCAGCCCGAGTACTCCTCGGAGCGCGTCTCCGCTGCCCTTGAGGCGCTCACGCTGCCCGCCACTGTGAGTGCTGCTGCGGAGCTGCCATGAACCATAAGCACCCGCGCTTACATGCACAGACACGTGCATGCAGACGTGCAGGTGACCGTGCATGCCTGCTCACACTGCACATGCACGCGCTCATACATGCCTAATCACAAATGCAGCAAGCCCCTGCCACCACCATCCATGTGCTGCTTGCAGGCTCGCCCAGAGGAGCTGTCCTTTCAACAGTTTGTCCTCCTTTTTGGCAAGATTCACGATCAATAGTTTGTGCTTAGCAGGGCGTGTCCTATGCGTATGTCCGATTGTGATTAGGTGAGGCGATTTCGGGGTCAGAAGGATCAAATGTTAATCCACAGCGGTTGGGTAAGGCATTGAGCGGAAACGAATGCTTAGGACACTCCCTTAGAATAGATAAACAATCACCAGGTAGAATGTATGCTATGAGTTTGGTGTAGACAATATGGGTTTCGGGTTGATTCCGGCAATCCCAATATCACGAAGCCTTCGCCGTGGTCGTCGCAGGGGTTTCGTGTGCGGTTCGTGCAAGGGGTTCTGTTTTCCCCCCCTGACAGGGGACCGCTGGGGACGACGTCTGCAGGGCCCAAAATTGGTTTTAGGCCACCCTTAGGAATCAGGGCACCAAAAACAAAAATGCCTTGACAGAAAGGGTTAAAAATAGCGTACCCTGACAAAATCAGGGTGTTTTGGGAAAACGAAATCAATACCGTGATGCTGTCAGGGTGTTTTCTTTTACACCCTGATTTTATTTGTCAACATTTTCTTTGGGAGGGAGCGTTGAGAGAGACAGGCAGGGAACAACGACAGCTAGCGAAAGAAATCAGGGCAGGGAGCAGCGAAAATGAGGCAACAAGTCTGTTAGGTGGCATTCAGGCCCCCAAATTGCAGACTTTTTACTCTGATTCAGACTTTTTTCAGAGTTTTTTTGGGGGTGTACTCTGATTGCAAAGCCTTTTTTTGTACTGTTGGGCTGAGAAAAACCCTTTAGGATCTTTTGCAGAGATTAAGTCCCAGCTGTAAAGACTTGAGACTTGGAGTAGTGCAGCGGAAGTTGAGGCAGTTGAACCCTTGTACTAGTATGTGAGAACAAGTGATTGATTAAAGAAACAAGCATACAGCAATATATAGAAGATAAGGAAGCAGTTGTAGAATACAGTTACAGGAACGGTTTATCGAGTCGCACAGCGACTCGATTGCCGCTTCGGTTACCATCCGTGATGTTGTAACGGTCAGTCGCAACCTCCAGTTGCGACCTTTCGAGTCCTTTCGCATTCTTTGTCCGCCCCCTCGTGTAACCTCCGTTGACTCGCGTGCTCCCCTGTAATCTTCCTCGAGTACAGTGTTACACTTCAGAAACGCTTAAGTCCTTGAGATATTTCCAACACTCCCCTTCGTTTCTGGAGTGCTGGAGTGTTCAGATCCGGTGACGTTTGTTTGCCCGGTTAGGAGCATGCAGTAGTCGAATTTTGCTTTCGCCAATTTCTTCGTCAGATAATCTGCGGCCATTTCTGTCGTCGGGCAGTAACTGAGTTGAAGTCTCCCCTTCGCGATTTCATCCTTGACGAAGAAGTACCGCAGGGCGATGTGCTTGGTTCGGTTGGCGAAGCCGTCCTTGTTCGCGATTTTTATCGCAGATTGGTTGTCGCAGAGGAGTGAGAAGGTGGGCAGGGTCGCGATCTTCGCTTCTTCGAGTAACTCTCGTAGGTAGAGTCCTTCCTTGGTCGCAGTACAAAGGGCGATATACTCTGCTTCAGCCGAGGATAGTGCGATTAACTCCTGCTTGCTCGACTGCCAGGAGATAGTTCCGATAGGTTCTAGTCGGTAGATGTAGCCCGTCCTAGACCGTCGATTTTCGCTGTCTCCCGCGTGGTCGGCGTCGACGTATCCGAGTAGTCGTACGGACGGTGTTGTTGCCTTGCTGTAGGTGAGCCCGATCGTCGGCGTGGAGACGAAGTAGAGTAGCGCTCGATTGAGTTCTTCGAGATCTTCCTGTTGCGGCTGCTTCAGATGTGTCGCCAGCTGGCTCGCACTATAGGATAGGTCGGGTCGGCAGGTTACTGTTGCGAATAGTAGACAGCCGAGCTTCTGTTGATACTCCTGGATTTGTTTCGCGGGGAGTTTTGTGGAGGCGCTACTGTTGTTCCCGTAGCGGTAGGGAGTTGGGACCGCAGTCGGTGTTAGACCGAATTTCTTCGCGACGGTGCTTGAGTACTTTCCAGCGTGTAGGTAGAACGCCGTGTCGTCTTCGACGACGTTCAGTCCTAGGTACTGCGTCACCTCGTCGGACACCGTGAGCGTCAGGTCCCTTTTCAGCTCCCCTTCGAACCAGGTGACGATGTCGGTGGTAGAACCGATGTAGAGCAGGTCGTCGACGTAGACGATGAGCAGAATGTAATCTCTTCCCTTCTGTAGTCGGTACATGCCTTGGTCATGTGGTAGCTGTAGGAATCCGATTTTTACGAGCCGGCCGTGAAGGTGCTGCTGCCAGAGCCGTGGGGCTTGCTTGATCCCGTAAAGGGATTTTTCCAGCTGGCATACTTTTGAAGGGTCGTCGATGAATCCGTGGGGTTGTTCGACGAAGATTTCGGCGTCCACAGGTGCGTACAAGAAGGCGTTTGCAACGTCGATTTGCCGTAGTGGTAGTTTCTTCGTGGCCGCGATGGCGAGTAGGATGCGCAGAGAGGTGTGACGGGAGACTGGAGCGAAGGTTTCTGTGTAGTCGGTTCCGTATCGTTGATCGAAGCCTCGTACGACCCATCGAGCTTTGAATCGTTCGATGGAGCCGTCTGAGTTGGTCTTGATGCGGTACACCCATTTCCCCGAGAGAATGTTCTTCCCGTTGATGCTCGTTGCAGGTACCAGTTTCCATGTTTCTCGGTCTTGCAGAGCTTTTAACTCTTTTTCGATCGCTTCCTTCCATTGTGCCTTATGTTCCCCCCCCAGAGCCTGCGACAGGGTCGACGGCTCGCGCGGAGAAGGCGGCGGCGGGTGCTGGACGGAGACCCATAGTCCTAGGATCTGCAGTCCCGTGGCTGTGTGTCGAGGGGAGTTTTCATTCTCGGGATAAGCTGCTTCATCACCGTCTTCAGGATCGGGTAAGAAGTTTGGCCCGATGCGTTCGGAAATATTCGAGTCGACGGGGTGTGGTGTAGCGTAGCCTTGGTCAGCGAAGTGGTAAAAGGTGTCGAGGTTGTTGCTATCGAGAGGATTATCTTCATCGAGTGGAACAGGTACGGAGCAGTAGGGGAGTGGTCCGGCAGCCTCCGAGGCTCCAGGGACGTCTTCTTCTGCTGCGTCAGCCTCGGCAGCATGGTCAGCGAAGGAGCGAAGGCCCGCGAAGCCGTCGGTGGGGTCGTCTGAGTTGGCAATGTTGTCCAGGTAATGCTGCAGCGTCAGTCGCTCGTAGAAGATAACATCACGTGATGCCACCGTATTTTTGTCGTGTATGTCGAGAATCTTCCACGCGTGAAAATGTTTGGCGATGCCGAGGTGTAGTCCCCACCGAGCTCGTTGAGTGAAGCGTCCTGCTCGAGCTGTGTGGGGTCTGTATTGTACCATGCAGCCGAAAACTCGAAGTAATTTTGTGCTGCCCCTTTTTCCCGTCCACAGCAGGTGCGGTGATGCGTTGTTGGGGAGCGATGACGAGGACAACAGGTTGTGCAGGTGGACTGCATGTGTCATCGCGTCTGGCCACAGTGTATTGGGCAGCCTCATCCCCAGAAGCAGTTTTCGCATCGTCGTCTGCAAGGTCCGGTTCATGCGTTCTGCTACCCCCTGCTGCTGGTGAGCATAGGGCAGAGACACCAGGCGTCGGATTCCCCTTTCCGCGAGATAGGTCCTGAAGCGTTGTGACTGGTATTCCAGTGCACCGTCTGACTGGAAACTCTTGAGTTTGGTTCCTGACTCTCGTTCGGCGATTGGAAGCCATGTGGTGAAGGCCTCGAAGGCTTGATCGCGCGTTTTGAGATTGAAGTGCCAGACGTATCTGGTTGCGGCGTCGATGAACGTGATGACGTAGTTGAAGTCGGCTTCGGTGTCGTCTCGAGGCATGTTTAGAATATCGCTGTAGACCTTTTCCATCGGAGCGTAAGTGGGTGCGCTTGGATTGTGATGGGCTGGGAAAGGTTGATGAGGAAGATCTGCTTCGGGGCACGTGAAGCATCGTGCTCTTGGTCGGCGAAGTTCTTGGCCGCTCGTCGTTAGAAGGGCGTTACGTTCTAACACCTCTGCTTGTATTGTTTGTAGTATCGTGCTGTTTGCAGGATGTCCGAGACGTTGGTGCCAGATGTTGTCGGGAGCGCCGTGACCGGGCGAGCGGTGGTAGATGTCGGCGTTGGAGAAGAACGCGACGACCGAGGCGGGACTTCGACAAGCTTCTCGTGTGGCGGGCATAAGTTGGTCTGCTTCCGTTGGCGGTCCTCGTGTTGATGGTGGTGGTACTCGGCTGGGTCCTGCTGCCGATACTGCAGGTGATGGTTTTGTTGGGACGCTTGCTGGTACTTGTCTTTCTTGTCTGATAACTGCTAATGCCCGTGTTCTCTCTGCTGCAGGTATGGTGTTGGAGTGCCAGAAGCCGTCACTGTCGAAGTCGGGATCAAGATCTGGTGGGTGAGTCCAGGCGGCGAACGATACGATGCCATCGCTGTCGGCAGTTCCGCGGTCGGGGACGAAGTCCAACACGAAGACACCGGACTTCAGGAGGGCACGACCGATGAAGAGACCGCCCTTCCCGTGGTAAAGTCGGAACTCGTTGGAGAAGGAGTCGCACTCCAGGTGAATCCCCTTAGCCATTAGTTGGCTTACGCTTAGTAGGTTGTATCCCAGATTGTCGACGATGAGGACTTTGTTGAGCTGAAGAATAACGTTTGTCTCCATTGATTGTAACTGAACCACGCCTTGCCTGTTTGTTTTCAGGTTTTCGTTGTTGGCGACGGTGATGACGACGTCGCGGTTGAGGCGTCGCTCGTGTTGTACGAAGCGTCCGGAGGAGCACATGTGCTGACCGCAGCAACTGTCCAAGAACCAGGTGTTCCGCCTGGTGGGTTCGGCGTTAGCGACTGCAGCGTATGTCGGGTTGACCTGAAGTCCTTGCGAGCGCGGCGGCGGGAATTCCTCTTCGTCTGGTGCGTAAGTGGGTGGTGAAGCGGGTGCGCAGTTGTCGATGTGTACCATGCAGTTGATGATGTTGGGTGTTTGTTGTGCAGATGTTGAAGAGCGCCTTGGAGGACTTGCTTGAGTGGAAGCGACTTGTGGGTCTGCTGCACGGTAAACGCGAGGGCGGTTGCAGTTGACCTTGGAGTGCCCGGAAGTCTGACAGTTGTGGCAGAACGGCGGCACGATGGTGAGTCCTCGGTTGTCGCGTTGATCTTGCTTGCTGCGTCGGTTGTAGTTGTTGTCATTTCTTCTTTGAGTGTAGAAGACTAACTGCTGTTGCTTCCTTGGTTGTCTTTCCTCGAACAGATCCATCTCCTGTTGTTCAGCGTGAAGCTCGGCGCAGAGGTGCATCTCCGAAATTCTTCCGTGGGCTCGAAGAAGTGATCGTGTGGTTCTCCATTCTGGCCCGAGCCCGGCGAGGACAAGTGTCACGAAGCTTTCTTCAGTGATCGTTCCTCCGCACCGAAGCAGGCGGTCGCGGAGGGTCTGGCAGCGACTCATATACTGCATCGCCTTTTCCCCGGTCTTCATCTGTATTGTTGTCAGCTGTTGCATGAGTCTGCTTTGTGTCACGCTGTCGTTTGCTTGGTAAAGGCATTTGAGGTGGTGCCATGCGAGCTCCGCGGAGTTTCCATAACTCCGATACGTTCTGATGCTCTGCTGCTCTTGTGGTGACAGGTTTCTCAGGAGTACCGTGTACGCCAGCAGCGACTGATACGTGAAGATCTCTTGTTCCTTCCCAGTGCCGTTGCTTGGGAATGGCAGGGACCCGTTGAAGTATCCCAGAAGATGCGCGGCCTCCATCAGCAGCTCAAACTCGAAGCTCCAGGTAAAGAAGTCGTGTCCGTTGAACGGTGAGGATGTCTGAAGTTTGATCACGTGTGAGAACTGCGCCTGTAAACTTAAGATTTCATTCGGTGTTTGTTGTGAAGCAGCTGCTGTTGGCTGGGCACGGGGCGGCATGAATTCGAACGTCCCCGGCGAAGAATGATAAGGCGCAAAGGTAGGCGCTTGGTTGTGTCGCCCGAAGGATGAGTTGTCGAGGCTCATCGGCGCTAATCCCATATTCCCTCCATTGCTCTGTGTTGAGTGCGCAGGTGTCCTTGTCTGCTGCTGCTGGTCGAAGTGTGACATGAAGCTGAAGAATCTCTCCATGAGATTCGGGTCCACACTTGAAGAGGGAGACGGAGTCACCATCTCTGGTACTCTTCCCGTTGTTTCTTGAGTAGTCCCGGTCTCTGTCTGCAGTCCTGAGGTGTGCAGACCAGAGTTGCCGTGTTGAGTTTCTTGGGCGCTGGGTGAGCCCGTAGAGACTTTCTTGCCCTTGTTGTCCATGTCTTGTAATCAATGGAGTTGTTGAATCAAGTTGAGTTGCTGGTTGTTGATGGAGTGTAGTTGCTGGGAGTTTTGATCTCTGACCAGCTCTCATACCATGTTGGGCTGAGAAAAACCCTTTAGGATCTTTTGCAGAGATTAAGTCCCAGCTGTAAAGACTTGAGACTTGGAGTAGTGCAGCGGAAGTTGAGGCAGTTGAACCCTTGTACTAGTATGTGAGAACAAGTGATTGATTAAAGAAACAAGCATACAGCAATATATAGAAGATAAGGAAGCAGTTGTAGAATACAGTTACAGGAACGGTTTATCGAGTCGCACAGCGACTCGATTGCCGCTTCGGTTACCATCCGTGATGTTGTAACGGTCAGTCGCAACCTCCAGTTGCGACCTTTCGAGTCCTTTCGCATTCTTTGTCCGCCCCCTCGTGTAACCTCCGTTGACTCGCGTGCTCCCCTGTAATCTTCCTCGAGTACAGTGTTACACTTCAGAAACGCTTAAGTCCTTGAGATATTTCCAACATGTACCTTACTCTGATTTTTCAGAGAACCTTTTTGTACCTACGTTGATTTTTCAGACTTTTTTTACTAGTGTACTCTGGTGCCTCAACCCTATATGGGGGGTTGACTCTGATTCTGTCTAATACCGAGATTAGGGGGGAGCGTGATTTGTGCTGGTACCCCTGTGGAGGGCGCTGACTGGCCCTTAGCCATAATCAGGGCGTGATGCTTGCTGGGGGCTTTGTGAGGGCGCTTACTATCCCTTCATGAAATCAAAGGTCAATGTGTACTGGGGGCTGTGTGAGGGTGTGACTGGCCCTTCGCGAAAATCGAAGGCCAGCCAATGAGTACAAGGGGGCTGTGTGAGGGAGCTGACTGGCCCTTGGCTCACCAAAATCACCTCCCAACCTGTGCTGGAGGCAGTGTGAGGGGCCGATTGGCCCTTCACCAAAAAAACATTTGCTAATGTGTGCCACCCGCGGCCTGTGTGTGCGAGGGCGCCCATTGGCCCTTCGCGAGATTTCCCTCGTCTGCAATTTTGTTTCGCCCGCCCGAATTCCTTTCCTTCCCCAATTTCGTCCCGCACGCACATGTCGTTTGTCACGAACCAGTCCACCCTATTGGTGGCACCAGAAATTAGCGTGGGCCGGGGGTCTTGGGCAGGGCTTACATTTGGTTTTTGGGGCACCCACCAGATCCGGGAATCTGGCCGAAACTACTCGTCTTAATCCGTGTTCAGCACCCTGTTTTGTCAAAATTTACTTGTCAAATCCGGGTTTCATAGCCATTTCTGTTAAAAGGACCCGCCAGAATCCGTGTTCAAATCAAACTCTGTTTTTGGAAAAGTCACCCTTCGGAATCCAAGTTTAGGGAAAAAGTCACCCGTTATTTCGCCGAAATTAGGAAAACTTGTTAAAGTAAGAACTGAATAATGAACTAGAAGGAGAAACCTAGAACAAATACTAGTTGGTTGTACTCATTAGAAGCATACCCCAGTCTAGCCTATAACTTCTACATAGCTAATATGTATAAGTTGACACACCCCCTAGGCTAAACAAGGGGTGAACCTAAGCAAGAACAGGGTGGCACTACTAGTCCAACCACTGAGGCAGGGGTCTGGAGACCAGTCAGCAAGAGTACAAACTGTCAAACATGTGTATTTGTCATGTTTGTATAGACTGTATAGAGTCACCTCTTAGAGGATACAAAACTTAGATATATTTGTGTGTACTCTCACTTTACCATTATTCAATTATTCTGATATGGTATCACGCGTAGGTAGGATCCCCCCCCCCCACCTACCGCTTCCACTCATGCCCCCTAGCGCCCCTCCTGGGCCCCGTCGCGCTCCTCCCAGGCCCCGTCGCGCTCCTCCCAGGCCCCCTAGCGCCCCTCCTGGGCCCCATCGCGCTCCTCCCAGGCCCCGTAGCGCCCCTCCTTGGGCTTCGTAGCGCCCCTCCTGGGCCCTGTAACGCCCTCCCAGGCCCCGTCGCGCCCCTCCCAGGCCCCGTCGCGCTCCTCCCAGGCCCCCTAGCGCCCCTCCTGGGCCCCGTCGCGCTCCTCCCAGGCCTCGTCGCGCCCCTCCTGGGCTCTGTCGCGCCCCTCCTGGGCCCCGTCGCGCTCCTTCCAGGCCCCGTAGCGCCCCTCCTGGGCTCTGTCGCGCCCCTCCTGGGCTCCGTAGCGCCCCTCCTGGGCCCCGTCGCGCCCCTCCTGGGCCCCGTAGCGCCCCTCCTGGGCCCCGTCGCGCCCTCCTTGGGCCCTGTAGCGCCCCTCCTGGGCCCCGTCGCGCCCCTCCCAGGCCCCGTCGCGCCCCTCCCAGGCCCCGTAGCGCCCCTCCTGGGCCTCGTCGCGCCCCTCCTGGGCTTCGTAGCGCCTCTCCTGGGCCCCCCGTCGTGCCCCTCCTGGGCCCCGTAGCGCCCCTCCTGGGCCGCGTCGTACCCGTCGCCGCCGCCCGGCCCCGTCGTGCCCGCCCGGCGCCGTCGCGCCCGCCCGACCCCGTCGCCGCCGCCCGGCCCCGTCGCGCCCGCCCGGCGCCGTCGCCGCCGCCCGGCCCCGTCGCGCCTGCCCGGCGCCGTCGCACCCTGCCCGGCCCGTCGCGCTCGCCCGGCCCCGTCGCAGCCGCCCGGCCCCGTCGCACCCGCCCGGCCCCGTCGCACCCTGCCCGGCCCCGTCACAGCCGCCCGGCCCCGTCGCACCAGCCCGGCCGCCGTCCCGCTCGCCCGGCCCCGTCGCACCGGCCTGGCCCTGCCGCACTCGCCCGGCCCCGTCGCCCCAGCCCGGCCCCGTCGCGCCCGCTCGGCCCCGTCGCGCCCGCCCGGCCCCGTCGGGCCAGCCCCGGCCCCGTCCTCCTCACTGGTACGGTCCCCCCCCCCCCCCCCCCCCCCCCCACCCCGCCCTGCTCCGTGCCGCCCTGCACCGCACTGCACCGCACTGTACCGCACTGCACCGCACTGCACCGCACTGCACCGCACTGTACCGCACAGTACCGCACTGCACAGCACTGCATCGCACTGTATCGCACTGCACCGCACTGCGCCGCCCTGCACGGCACTGGACTGTTCCTGATGGCGGCGGAGCTTCGCTTCGACGCTGAAGGTCAGCCCCTAGAGTTCGAGGCGTGGCTTGCCGACCTCCGCCGCCAACTCACTGGCCAGCGGCAGGATGGTGAACCGCTTTCCGCACACCTTGACGGTACGCTCCCCTGCCCAGACCCTCCTGCTATTCTGCCCGCTGACCCCACACCCACTGAGCGTGAGTCTACTGCTGCCACTGCCCGTGCGCGCTCTGTCTGGCTTTCTCGCGATGCTGTCGCCCAGCTTGCCATTAGCAACGCCCTCCCCCCGTCCGAGCGTCCTCGCTTTAGGTCCCTCACTACTGCTCAGGCATACTTAGATGCTGTCATCAAGCGCTATTCCACCCCTCCGGCTGCCTCGGTGGGTCGCCTGATCCTCTCGCTGCTCTTTCCTGACCTTGCTTCGTTCCCCACTGTCTCTGACCTCGCTGCCCACCTGCGCTCGATAGAGGAGACCTGGCGCGCCGCCTGCACTGACGCACAGCTTAGAGCCCACCAGCCGCCCATTACCTCTACCCTCTACCTGCTTGCCACCCGCCTCCCTGACCGCCTTGCTGTCGCCCGCGACCGCTTCCTTAGTGTTCACCCCGCAGACCTCACCCTCACTGACTTTGTCGACACCCTGACTGTGATAGAGACCCGCCACCACTCCATCGCCCAGGCGAGCGGTGTCGTGCCGGTCTCTATCTTTCAGGGTTGTGCCCCCGCTCAGTGTACCTTCTCCGACGGCTCTGCCGCAGTGGCTGAAACTGCTGCTGCAGCGCAGGCCCGTTCTGGGAAGGGCCGCCGCCCCAAGGCTGGGCGCGGCGGAGGGGGCGGCGGGGGTGCGGGCGGGGGTAGTGGTGGGGTCGGGTCACCTGGTGCTGGAGCGGACGAGGGGACCCTGCCCAGTCCAGCTGAGTCGCCGCCCCTGCAGTTGCAGCAGCCGCAG